TTAGAGATGGGTAATGAATGGAAACCAAAAAGAAACAAAAATGAATGGGTTTTACCCTTTCCCTACTCAATCCAAAGGATCTAGGAGGGTGCTGGGGTAGGCTATGCCCCCAGTTTTTAATTTATCCCCCCCCCCCCAAAAGTCAACCCTAACCTGACACTATACTGCCTTAGCCTGCCACTATTCTGCCCTAATATGATACTTTACCACCCTAGCTTGACACTATACTGCCCTAGCCTGACACTTTGCTGCCCTAATATGATACTTTGCCGCCCTAGTTTGACACTGTACAGCCCTAGCCTGCCACTTTGCTGCCCTCATTTGATACTTTACCACCCTAGCTTGACACTATACTGCCCTAGCCTGCCACTTTGCTGCCCTATCATGATACTTTATTACCCTAGTTTGACATTATACTGCTCTAGCCTGCCACTTTGCTGCCCTCATATGATACTTTACCGCTCTAGTTTGACACTATCCTGCCCTAGCCTGCCACTTTGCTGCCCTAATATGATACTTTACCAGCCTAGTTTGACATTAAACTGCTCTAGCCTGCCACTTTGCTGCCCTCATATGATACTTTACCACCCTAGTTTGACACTATACTGCCCTAATATGATACTTTAGCCACCCTGGTTTGACACTGTACCAGGGGCAGACTGGCCATTTGGAAACTCGGGCACTGCCCGAGGGCCCGGGGTCAGTAGGGGGCCCCATGAGATGCCCCTGGTACCTTTTTCATAGGCTATTTTGAGTTTGGGCAAGGACACAGGGGCCCCATAATCCCCTATTGCCCGGGGGCCCCATGAGTTGTCAGTCCGCCCCTGCACTGTACTGCCCTAATCTGCCAGTTTGCTGCCCTAATATGATACTTTGCCACCTAGTTTGCCTGTATACTGCCCTAGCCTGCCACTTTGCTGCCCTAATATGATACTTTACCACCCTAGTTTGACACTATAATGCCTTAGCCTGCCACTCTGCTGCCCTAATATGATACGTTGCCACCCTAGTTTGATACTATACTGCCCTAGTCTGCCACTTTGCTGCCCTAATATATGTTGCCACCCTAGTTTAACACTATAATGCCCTAGTCTGCCACTTTGCTGCCCTAATATGATACGTTGCCACCCTAGTTTGACACTATAATGCCTTAGCCTGACACTATACCGTCCTTCACTGACAATAGGTATGCGTTGTGTGGGGAATGCTGCCAGTGCTCAGGCTGTATGCAGTGCAGGGATGGGCCCCTGTCTTCTGCCCAGCCAGCAGTGACTCCTGTCCTCTGCCCTGCTGATCTCCCATCCTCTGCCCCTCTGACATTTTTTACTGCACCCCCATATCGGACAGGCTAGATCCAGCCCTGGTCCAAGGCCAAGTTTTAGATATGGATACACTTTAAAAATGTACGTCATTTTTTTTACTATACCCTACTGAACAAAGTACGTTTTTACAATGCCTTACTGTAAAAGGGTGACATGTTGTCTCTTTAAATAACAGATAACAATACATGACATTTTATTTAGCTTACAGCGCAATCCTGATTAATCTGTCTATTTTCTTTTACACCTTTTTTTTTCTTTTTTTATAGGAAGAATGGTATTAAAAGAAAAACCTGCAGCAAGCATAATGCAAAATCTATTGGTCTGTCAGCCCAGAGAAAAGCGTACATGCTCCTATTTATTGAAATGTCTCACAAAGGAGCTACACTGTCCTAAAAACTTCTGCGCCTTTTTTTTTTTGTCAGACAATAACACAGTTGTCACCTGGCAATCCTTTAATTGCACGGGCATTGTACACGGGAATTGGACTAGTGTCCCAGCATTGTCATCTACTCCTCGACACTCCGAACTGCTTGCTTTGAAACAGACGTCTGACCTCAATTCCATCCGCAGCTGATATATATACAAAAAAAAAATAGAAAGACAATTGCATACATACTTGCCAGATCGAAATGAGATGTTTAACCTAAAAAATACAACAGCTACATGGATTAACATCTCAATGCGCACTTACGATGCACAGAAATTGCTGGCGAGTGTATTCTGGCCCGAGACAAAAGTAGATAAAGCTGGGATGGTGACCTAGTTCATTATGATAAGGTCGGGTCCTTCTGCTGAACATTATGTTGGATCGGGACTCAGGCAGCTCATCACAAGACAAAATGAGCGATAAAACTTGTCTAATACTATGCAACTCCCCTGAGAATTATTTTGCTCATGCGGGGGGGGGGGGGGGGGGGGGGGGGGGACTTGTTTCGAAGAGTCTCCGCTGATGATTTGTTGTGGGAAAAGGGATTTTTAAGCAGATATATGATGCTGCCAGGTCTTATGGCTCTTCAAGGATCACTCCACTCTAGAGATGTGAATAAAATGTCACACGTTTTCATACAGTTTGTAATGAGTTATGTACAGTATATGAAATCCTGTAGGATCCAGGACACTTGACACATTACTTCTGTCCAAGGGCGGACTGACCATTTGGAAACTCAGGCACTGCATGAGGGCCCGGGGTCAGTAGGGGGCCCCATGAGATGCCCCTGGTACCTTTTTCATAGGCTTTTTTGAGTTTGGGCAAGGACACAGGGGCCCCATGATCCCCTATTGCCCCATGAATTGTCAGCCGCCCATGCTCCTGCCTGCGCACATCGAGTGGGCTCCTAACCAACTTTGAATATCCAGTCCAAGAATAAAAGGAATGTAGCAAGAAGTCCAGTTTGTAAAATCTCTTCTTAATTTTACAAGACAATTCCAAAAAATTTTTTCCCCTTTCTACATAATTTGTTTGGAATTTTGTACTATTAAAAAGAGACGTGGCAATTAGACTTGATGCTACATCCCTTTGAGTTTTGGGATGGATAACTGAGGTAGATTGGGGCCTGCTTGATGTGTGCATGAGAGTATTCAGAAGTAATTTGCCACGTGTACTGGAACCTAGTTATCAATTGTCCTGGATCCTAGGTGCCAAGTGTCCTGTATCTTAGCTGCCAAATGTCCTGGATCCTAGTTGCCAAGTGTCTTAGATTCTAGTTGTCAACTTCCTTGAATCTTAGTTGCCAAGTATCCTATATTCTAGTTTTCAAATGTTCTTGATCCTAGTTTTCAAGTATCCTGGATCCTAGTTGCTAAGAGTCCTGCATCCTAGTTGCTAAGTGTCCTGGAACCTAGCTATCAAATGTCTGGGATCCCAGGTGTCAAGTGTCCTGGATCCTAGTTGCCAAGTGTTCTGTATCTTAGCTGCCAAATGTCCTGGATCCTAGTTGCCAAGTGTCTTAGATTCTGTTTGTCAACTTCCCTGGATCCTAGTTGCCAAGTATCCTATATTCTAGTTTCCACGTGTGATTGATCCTAGTTTTCAAGTATCTTGGATCCTAGTTGCTAAGAGTCCTGCATCCTAGTTGCTAAGTGTCCTGGAACCTAGCTATCAAATGTCTGGGATCCCGGGTGTCAAATTTCCTGGATGCTAGTTGCCAAGTGTCCTAGATTTTAGTTGCCAAGTATCCTGGATCCTAGTTGCCAAGAGTCCTGAAACTAAGCTGTCAAATGTCCTGGATTCTAGGTGCCAAGTGGCTTAAATCCTAATTGCCAGCTGTCCTAGATTCTAGTTGCCAAGTGTCCTGAATCCTAGTTGTCAAATATCCTGGATGCTAGTTGCCAAGTATCCTAGATTCTAGTTTTTACATGTCCTGGATTCTCTTTGCCAAGAGTCCTGGATGTTAGTTGGCAAATATCCTGGAATCTAGCTGTGAAATGTCCTGGATCCTTTTTGCCAGGAGTCCTGGATCCTACAGTAGTTGCCAAGCATCCTGGGACCTAGCTATCAAATGTCTGGGATCCCAGGTGTCAAGTGTCCTGGATCCTAGTTGCCAAGTATCCTGGAACCAAGTAATCAAATTTCCTGGATGCTAGTTGCCAAGTGTCCTAGACTTTAGTTGCCAAATATCCTGGATCCTAGTTGCCAAGAGTCCTGAAATTACACTGTCAAATGTCCCGGATTTTAGGTGCCAAGTGACCTAGATCCTAATTTCCAACTGTCCTAGATTCTAGTTGCCAAGTGTCCTGGATTCTATTTGCCAAGAGTCCTGGATGCTAGTTGCCAAGTGTCCTGAATCCTAGTTGTCAAATATCCTGGATGCTAGTTGCCAAGTGTCCTGAATCCTAGTTGTCAAATATCCTGGATGCTAGTTGCCAAGTGTCCTAGATTCTAGTTTCCAAGTGTCCTGGATTCTATTTGCCAAGAGTCCTGAAACCTAGCTGTCAAATGTCTTGCATCCAAATTGCCAAGTGTCCATGAGCCTAGTTGCCAAGAGTCCTGCCTCACAGTTGCCTGGTGTTTTGGATCCTATTTTCCATGTGTGCTGTATCCTGTGGGAAAGCCTCTTGATTTTATCTTTGTCCCACATGCTGTTCTGTAGAATAGAGGATTCTGTGTGGAATTGCAGCGAGTGATGAGTGCTAAAACTCTTTGTGTTCCAACACCTGGCACTGTAAATTTTGCCATCTCTGGCTTGCTAAGTGATCTCCAATCTAAAAATGAAAGCTTAATTGCAATAAGAGGAGTAGAGGAGCATGTGCCCTCTATGGACAGTTGCTAGTATTACACTGTAATGTATGATTATGTACTGTATGTCTTTTCCTGACTCTGAAGTTGTTGAAAAAGATTTTGGAAGGAGGAAGAGGTGAGAGAGAAGGTCACAGCCAGGGGCGGACTGACAACTCATGGGGCCCCCAGGCAATAGGGGATCATGGGGCCCCTGTGTCCTTGCCCAAACTCAAAAAAGCCTATGAAAAAGGTAACAGGGGCATCTCATGGGGCCCACTACTGACCCCGGGCCCTCGTGCAGTGCCCGAGTTTCCAAATGGTCAGTCTGCCCCTGGTCTCAGCCACATGTTCTGCTCATGATACTAATACCAGATCAGAAGGGATGATTATGCAAGTATTTCTATGCTCTAATAGCTTGACTGCAGCTGCTCATAGCTTCTTGAAGTGTTACTAAACCCCGGACCCTGTATTCACTATATCTGGTCTCCCCAGACCCTGAATTCACTATATCTGGTCTCCCCGGACCCTGCATTCACTATATCTGGTCTCTCCAGACCCTGCATTCACTATATCTGGTCTCCCCAGACCCTGAATTCACTATATCTGGTCTCCCCGGACCCTGCATTCACTATATCTGGTCTCTCCAGACCCTGCATTCACTATATCTGGTCTCCCCGGACCCTGCATTCACTATATCTGGTCTCCCACAGTAAAGTAAATATAAACTGCTAAATACCATGGAGATCATATCCCCCCTTATGTATTATACATGGATCATATCCCCCTTATGTATTATACATGGAGATCATATCCCCCCTTATGTATTATACATGGAGATCATATCCCCCCTTATGTATTATACATGGAGATCATATCCCCCTTATGTATTATACATGGAGATCATATCCCCCCTTATGTATTATACATGGAGATCATATCCCCCCTTATGTATTATACATGTTGATCATATCCCCCCTTATGTATTATACATGGAGATCATATCCCCCTTATGTATTATACATGGAGATCATATCCCCCCTTATGTATTATACATGGAGATCATATCCCCCCTTATGTATTATACATGGAGATCATATCCCCCCTTATGTATTATACATGGTGATCATATCCCCCCCTTATGTATTATACATGGTGATCATATCCCCCCTTATGTATTACATGGTGATCATATCCCCCTTATGTATTATACATGGATTCTCTTATTTACCTACAGGTTTAGCGCAACATCTTGTTTGGGGAGGACCGTTTCTCATAATACGCCCAAAAGAGGGCAACATACTGTAGATATTTACTGCATTTTTTTTTTTTTTTGCAAAAAAAAAAAATATTCTTCAGTTCCTCTTCCTCGTCATCGGATGTTATTCTGTAACATCTCAAATGATATCTGTTTCTTCTTAGGAGCTCTTTTTCTGACGTGACAGCAAAGTACGAGAGTGCCTATGATGTGTCCTCTATAACTACTGCTGGTATCCATCTATACGTGCTCTTTTATTTGTCAAATCAACAGACAGATTCTTAACACTTCAGTTGCAGATTTCTCTTTGCTTTCCATGTAGTTCCATTAGGATTCTCTGAGCTCTAAAAGGTGTAAAGAACACGTGCCTTTGTACAACCAGTTTATCTGAGCACTTTTCCTGTCAGTACCTGAGCAGTTGTAACAGCTGTATAGATGACACGTGTATTCTGCAAACTGAGTAGCATTCGTTTTGCATCGACATCTACAGTAAATGACTTGTAGAAAAAGGTTTTACAGCATGCTTAACCCCCCTGGCTTGTCCATTGGATTACAGGCTGATACACGCAAGGCAATTATTCGCAGCTCACAAGCAACTACAGCCTGAGGAAGTAGGAATTTAGCCCCGGAAACCTGTTGGCTTGTTACTTTTTCCTTATTCTTTATCAACAAAAAAATGATTCCTGAAGGTTTAGCTTCTGAATCCATTCATGATGTTCCTCACCTACCAATACATAAAGATGGCTTTTCATACCAAGGTTCAGACTTCATAAAGTACAAAAAATGGCCGCTGCCCCAGTCTATAACTGGCCTTCACGGCAAGGAGCACATACATGCATAAGATAAAGAGCCTCGTCACGGCACCCCAGTATTCTGTAGTTCCTAACTCTCCAATTTTAAGAGCCACCATAGTAGACGCACATGTATTTAATAGATAGACCAAGTGCAGATGGACCTGAAGGAGCCCACCCCTCCTTAAAGGTACAGGAGCACTCCAGACACAGAGTATGTAGCACAATGGCAGCTAAGGTGTCCAGTGCACCCCATCGACCAACAATTTAACAGTACAAAAAAAGTGTTGGCTTGTTACTTTTTCCTTATTTTTTATCAACAAAAAAATGATTCCTGAAGGTTTAGCTTCTGAATCCATTCATGATTTTCCTCACCTACCTATACATAAAGATGGATTTTCATACCAAGGTTCAGACTTCATAAAGTACAAAAAATGGCTGCTGCCCCAGTCTATAACTGGCCTTCATGGCAAGGAGCACATACCTGCATAAGCTACTGAGCCTTGTCACGGCACCCCGATATTCTGTAGTTCCTAACTCTCCAATTTTAAGAGCCCCCATAGTAGACGCACATGTATTTAATAGATATACCAAGTGCAGATGGACCTGAGGGAGCCCACCCCTCCTTAACCTCCCTGGCGGTATTCCCGAGTGTAGCTCGGGGTAAAGTTTCAGTACCAAAAGCGGTAACCCTGAGCTACACTCGGGCTTACCATGCAGCGTTGCATAGGGATTCCCTGCAGCACTTACCTTGTCCTTCGCTCCCGCGATGCGTCCCCTGCCAAATCCTCCGGCCGATGCCGGCTTCCGTTTTCCGGTCTCTGTTACGTCGGGACGTACGGGCGCGGAACTGGCGGCATATTTGAAATTTTTAAAAAAATTTCATTTATTTAAAAATGATTATTACATAGTAAAACATTGCTGTTTCAAACCATTTCACATATATTTTGTCCCGAGTGCTTTGTCCGGCGCCCTGCCTGCATTTTTACTGTTCTTTCTGCCTGGAAACTGAGAAACGTCCATGGCGTCCAAAAAGCGTCCCTTTAGGTCAAAAGCGGTTTTAGACCGGCTAGAGAACAGCGATAGTAAATCAGAACCACTTGCAGAATTGAGTGATAATGATTCGTGGTGGAAATTCCTCATCAGACACTGAAAACGATTCTGCGACTTTGCTCAGTGATGTGCGAACTTGGCGCTCTATTTCACATTTCAGTGTTTTTGGTTTGATTATATTATTGAATTAAATGTATTATTATTATATTATTATTTTTATGATTATTTATTAAATTATAATTTATGATTTTGTGTTTCAAGTTTTATCATACCCGGGATGTTTACTAGACTCTTGTCCGGACAGATTTCAGTGAGTTATTCCTAAATTACAGGCCTACAATAAAAAAAATACATATTTCCATGCAAAATAATGGTACTGCTTTCAGCACCAAAAATCTGAAATAATCATACCGCCAGGGAGGTTAAAGGTACAGGAGCGCACTGGACACAGAGCATGTAGCACAATGGCAGCTAAGGTGTCCAGTGCACCCCCTCAACCAACAATTCAACAGTACCAAAAAACCTGTTGGCTTGTTACTTTTTCCTTATTTTTTTATCAACAAAAAAAAAAAGATTCCTGAAGATTTAGCTTCTGACTCCATTCATGATGTTCCTCACCTACCTATAAATAAAGATGGCTTTTCATATCAAGGTTCAGACTTCATAAAGTACAAAAAATGGCCGCTGTCCCAGTCTATAACTGGCCTTCACGGCAAGGAGCACATGGAAGGGCGACGCATGGCAAACAAAAAAAAGAAAAATTCCCAGCTCTAACTTACCGGCCAGCCTGCAAACAAACCAAATCAACCTGTTTAACAGTATGCGGTAAAAATAGGGGTTTAGTTAGCGCTCCTGTACCTTTAAAGAGGGTTGGGCTCCCTCACATCCATCTGCCCTGGTCTATCCATTAAATACATGTGCCTCTACTATGGGGGCTCTTAAAATTGGAGCGTTAGGAACTACAGAGTGCTGGGGTGCCGTGACAAGTCTTTGTAGCTTGCACGTGTTTCAAATGTGTGCTAACTAAACTCCTGTTTTTAACGCATACTATCACCCCCGGTTCACAGCTATGCGGGTGGTGCCGCTGCGGATCTGCACGAAAATCCGTGCAGCGGCACCACCCGCACAGAGAATTGCAGACCTGCGGTGGGTGCCATTAGTTCTAATGGCACGCTGCCCGCACTGGGAAACGCAACTGTGCTGGGAACCGAGGTTCCCGTGTGGGCTGCATTTTCCAAAGTAGTGCAGGGACTTCTTTCCCTTCGTGTCATGGGCACGGGAGTCCATTCAAATGAATGGGCTCTCGTGCCCATGCAAAACGCGGCCCGCACGGCCGCATAGGTGTGAACCTAGGGTTAGACAGGTTAATACGGTTTGTTTTTCAAGCTGGCAGGCAAGTTAGAGCTGGGAATTTTTCTTTTTGGTTTGACGTGCGTCACCCTTCCATGTGCTCCTTGCTGTGAAGACCAGTTATAGACTGGGACAGTGGCCATTTTTTGTACTGTTGAATTGTTGGTCAGGGGGGCACATTGGACACCTTAGCTGACATTGTGCTACATGCTGGGTGTCCAATGTGCTCATGTACCTTTAAGGAGGGGTGGGCTCCCTGAGGTCCACCTGCTCTTGGTCTATCCATTAAATCCATGTGCCTCTACTATGGGGGCTCTTAAAATTGGAGAGTTAGGAACTACAGAATACTGGGGTGCCGTGACGAGGCTCTGTAGCTTACGCATGTGTTTGCAAATGTGTGCTAACTAAACCCCTGTTTTTACCGCATACTGTTAGACAGGTTAATTCGGTTTGTTTTCAAGCTGGCTGGCAAGTTAGAGCTGAGAATTTTTCTTTTTTTGTTTGTCAGACTTCATAAAGCCATACCCTTTGCTACAGAAAGCTTAGTGTCATTTTTTTCAACATTCCTGCCTTTAGGAGTACATGGAAAAAGTGACCAGATGAACCCAGTGATATAGTTCCGCCCAACTGTTCATATAGTTAAGAATGTGTGGATTCCGAAGCCTGGTTATTTTTGACAGTTCAATCTTGAAAAATGGTGTTCTGGGCTTCCTGTATTTGCATTTACTAGCCAGTCACTCTGAGGAGGCTTCAGAGTCCTGTTTCAGGAATATGGTTCTAGGAGTCTTGCCTGTGGTGTCAGCTAGCCAACTCCTGGTAGGTTTGTCATTAGTGGGTTGGACAAGGATCTGACAAAACAACTGAATCCTCTTCAAGAAGGATCCTTGGTTAGTATCCCTATTCTTGGTAGAGGGTACCTTCAAGCCCTACCCCTGCTGGGGAAAGTGTGGTTGAATGAGAAGGTTGTGTACCTGTTTTTGAGACCTCAGGGTTGGAGCCTAGGCCCAGAGTGTGTCCCCCCTCTCGGTGAGAAGACTCTGTGTCTGAAGGCCATGCTGGCCTAATCTGATTTATACTAGAGTTTTCACTTGAATACTATTAGAACCTCCAGTTTCGTTGGGCCAATATATCTAGAAGAAGTTTTACGTGATACTTCTAGATACTAAAAACCACCAAGTAACTTCTAGTCTGAGAAGCTCTCAGAGCCTGACCATTACATTTAGGGTTTCCCACCTTTTCCTTTCCTACCTCCTATAAAGTTCCTGCTTGTACAGTTAAACTGCATTTATGTCTGGATCTGCACAGCTTCATCTGCAGGAAGTGTAAATGTGATGTACCCAAAGTGTTCCTAGGAA